TTGTCAAAGCACTAATTCATGGTTTTTACTAACCGGTATCAGTATGTTGTTACTTTGGCATCATTTTGAAACGTGTATTACAATTAAATCACGGTAAAACATGTTCATTTTGTTGGCAGGCGAAAAACCTTCTAAAATGCGTGTTTTCTGAATGGAGATCGGATCGATCAGGCTAAACTAACCTGTAGCTGCTCCGTCCACACTCACAACAACATGATACAGACAGAAATAAAGCAGCGACTGTATTCGCCAGACAGTCTGTGTTTTGTACATGTTTAACTTTTGTCCAGTTTCTGAACAGATATGAAGAGCTGTGAGCTCTGTGTGCTAACAGCTAACGTCTGATGTTTTGGGACATGTTGCGTTGTCAGGTGCTGACCAATCACGAAACGTCATTTTTTGACTGGCAGCAAAAACAACCAATCACAGCAGTGTTTCTCTGGCCGGCTCTGTNTTATTAAAAAAAAAAAATAATAATATTTTGAAAAATTATTGATTAGAAGATAATATGATACAGTACTATTACAGCTTTAATGAAACACAGAGAACCAGACGTAATAGTACTGTATCATATTATCTTCTAATCAATAATTTTTCAAAATATTATTATTTTTTTTTTTTAATAACCATTTTTCCTCCTGGTCTCTCTACGCCCCACTGGGGGGGGCGCGCCCCCCACTTTGAGAACCACTGCCTTAAGACAACATTGTACAATACCAAACGGTACATTTCCAAGCGGCCTCTCCTCTTCTCCTTACATTTAAAAGTCAGCGCCATTCTACACTGCGCATGCTCAGACCCGAGGTTTCTTTATAAATATTTCTTCTTTGGTTGTAAATGGCAGTTTACCCGAGCACCCAGCGTCTTAATACATCTATGGTCTCATCACTCAACAACATACGTAAAATGCTTTCTTCATGCTGCAACTGATACTTTGTAAAAAACAGAAAGAAGTTTAATATTGATTATCAATTGAAGTTAACTAATGCACATTAATCAAGTCCAAATATCTAATCTAGGCAATGTGGTCCCTATTTAAGAACAACACATTATGTTATTCAAAATTCCCTTTTGTTATTCAGAACAAAACCAAGCTTCACATTGCGTGTTTGATATAGCTCTTCTTAATATTTATTCTTTAGACTCAGGGGAAACTGATTTTCTTTACAGAACAGTTTGCATAATATCTCAACACATCCTGTGTACAACCACAAAACCATAACGTTAGATTCCTTGCTTTTACACGGTGTGAAAAACAAGACAATTTTACAAGCATATTTCTTTACAGTCAGCATACAGATAAATCTATACATATCTCTGTCTCTTTTAAACACAATCTGTAGGCAAAATATACAGACGAACCATCAACAAAACATGCAACATCCAAAACATAAAGTCTTAGACAACTATTATAGTTGAATAGATTTTTTTCCCTTTGTGTTGTTTTCAGCCGTGTATGGGACGTGGTTGCACAGATAGTCATTGGTTGACAGAACATGTTTTGATTGATTACACAGTCAACTCCCCTTGTACAACTATAGACACACATTGCTGTACAGTTATAAGTCTTTTGTGATTTTTTTCGACACTCACATGCTCAAACTTCAGACAATATAAACATTCAATCTTTGTAGAAAATAAACACTTTATATACACATGTCAAAGGACTTGAGTCACATTCACACCTGTCAGAACGACAACACATAGATGGTTTCACAATTACAGGCAACAGCTGATTTGAACAAACATTAATTAGCTTGAGGGAAGTCTGATGAAACACGAGGGGTTGACTGAGCATTTAGGGAATATGTCTTATTTACTGTACTGTACAGAGACTGGTAATTAGACTATGAGCATGATGTAGACAGGTGATTTTTCCCCAAATTGTGCATTGTGTTGAGAAACCCCAACGTGTCTGCATGTTTTTTTCTTTTGCCACATAAATACAAAATGCACACCACAATATTTTCTGCCACCACATATACCATTATTCAGTTCATTTCAATGCAGAAACACAAAACACATAATCTTGCATGTCATGACAGTTATAAGGAGACAAGAAAATAAACTATGTAATTATAAAGTGCACAATCTCTATGAAGATGTGAACATTGTCATACTGATATTCTGTACAAACTGTGAAGTCCACTGAGACAAATGTAACATTTGTGATATTGGGCTATATAAATAAATATTGATTGATTGATTGATTAACAGCTTTTAACATCAATTTATATTAAAATCAGTAAAAAAAATCTATTTATTTTATATTTTCTTCAATAATGTACAAATTAAAGTTTTTATCTTTTTTCTGTAAGCCATTTTTAGACCATATGTTCACATAAATAACATTTAGTTCCAAAAAAAACAAATGCATTCAAACACATCTATGTTGCATAGAATTAAAAATCAATGTTTCTGGAATAAAAAAACAAGGTTGGCACAACAAAATAATTATTGGAAAACTCAGCCACATTCCCTTCATTTTATATTCCCTTGTTACCCTATGGTATAAGATTTAGGTGACATCTTGTTTTAGGTGTGTTTCTTCTGTTATATTTATTTCTTTAAAAAAAATTGCATCAGCCCTATGATATGCCTTAACACAACAACAGTCGATCTGAGGGTCACTCAAAGTGTTTTTTCCCCCTATTCTTTAGATATGGGGGCAACACTATGCAAGATAATTGCGGCCCCATCTGAATGACTGAAAATATGACAACCCCAATGGGCCTGAGTGAGTGTTTTGGTCACAGGCAGTGTACGAGGCTGGTTCACTGTGTTTGGGAGTCACTGACACAAAACAGCTTGGTGAGTTTTACAGCACAGTCAGAAACACAGAGGAACCTTGCCATTTGAAAGGGTAAGAACATTTTTTCTTCATTTGAAATGTTTTTAGGTAAAACTAGGACGGGCGTTACTTACACAGAGAAAGCAGAGCCGTCATACTGAGGTGATGACAGTTGCAGACACACGTATGGTTTTGACACAACTTGTGAATTACATGTCCATACCAACAGTGTAATTACATGATAGGCCACACAGAAAGAAATATTAGCATACTCTAAGCAACAGCCTTAAAGTAAAAATGTCATACACTTGAAACAGATGTAATATACTCTTCTCATTCTCAACAGTTGGCTTGTGACTTTCAACACAGCAAGTGATTTGGACTTTGAAACGCATAACTGCTGGTCCTTGTATTGTAATTCAACCTGCCTAACACAATAGCATGCTAGTGAAATAGCTAAATGTTACTGCTTGTTGACATTTAAAATGTTGTAATCCATCACAGCCCTGTTGAATATCTAATGATGCATCAGTGTGATCAAAGCACTAAAGGAGCTTTTTGTCATGAACATCCATGAGCTCACATAGGTCCACATTCACATAACGGCTATTAAGACTGCCTACACCATAGACTAGAGCAGCCTACTGGATTGTCAGTGCGTCACTCACAGCCTCAAACAGACTCTATTTTGTATTATATATGATCTAGTAATATGAGAACAACTCTTGTACTGTATATGTTATTAGATATATTCTGCATCTGATATCTTTGTATATTATTTAAACATCACACTGTACAATGTGGTTCTCTGATATGCTCTGTAATCTGCATGTGTGATATCTACAATCTGTGCTGTACATATTCTATCATCACATAGCAAAAGTCATCTGTCTGACTTTGTTGTTTTATATTTTTCCATAAAACTAAAATACTTTCATACAGAAAAAATATGCATTCCTTCATATTTAACATTTCAAGACCACTGATGTCCACACACATCACAACCATCATATGGACATTTCAAAAATGACTCTCAAATGAAAAAAACACAATGCAAATGTGGGTGATTTCTTTTTCCGTTTTTCCCTCTGAGAGATATGTTAGCTTAGTTGCAGAGCCCTAAAACAACATCATGTCGATCATTGAATTGGAACCATGGTAATGGACATCGCTGCTCACACAGCCGTAGTGCTGCTGTGTGTGTTTCAGAGCTTGCTGTGGTATTTGCATGTTTGCATCCTACAATCACAGTCAGCACAGAATCGATATGGGAGGAGGTGGACATGTGTGCTGGCAGTGTTGGAAAGATACAATTGTAATGGTATTAGAAGATAATTTCCTCCTTAACACTCGTGAACTTAAATATATTTGTTTAGTTCCTCTTTTGAAATATTTTTCTCTTGTCTTGTTGTCAGAAATGGATCTCTGAACACATCCTTCACCTTTTCTCCAGCTTGTTGTTGTGCTGTTCAGGGGTTGGTCTGATTGGAGCTAACAAACAACTTGTGCCAGCTGACCACTCTCTTTCTCATGTCCACCTTGTCCAGCCAGATGTAGGCTTCTCCTATCAGGGTCTTCTTCATGAACTTGCCTCCGTTGGACACCAAGAAAAGCTGATAATACATCGGAGAGAAACACATTTGTCATGACTTACTCTGTAGTTATCTGATTGATAGTGTTTATGCTTTGTCAGCTCAAGAACCCATTTCATCTTGAAACGTGCACGGCTAAAAGCATGTTATTCAGCATGAATAATGTAAGCACCATTGGGTGAAGAGGTTACAACCCAACAAAGTGTCATCTATTGATTAGGTAAGCCTTCAAATTGAGATGAAATATAGACAAATTAAGATTGTCCTGTAAAACAAACAACACTATCAGAAAATGCATTCGTATTTCTTACATATTACATCTATGTTTCTATTGCATTAGTTCAAAAAAGAGTCAGTGAGCATGTTTTTCTTTTATATTCCCCAGTATTTATTGAACTGCAATTGTCTGTGTTGAATTGACGTTTTATAGAATTTACCAGCAATTTATACCTGCTCATTTCCTGCCTCCCCCCACGAGGAGGTTTTATATGTACAGCTGGTACATGAGGCAGCAGACCAGTTTATTTACCATTGTGAGGTTTATGACCTGTTTTGTCAGAAGTAACAAGCCTCCAGTTTTAATAACTGCAATACCATTTTAGAGATGCTGGATGTAAACTAACCTGATGAATACACCAAATGACTGCAAAGCTTTTCATTTTCTATAATTATTAGACCAACCAGATATGCTAAAAATCATGTATAGTGATCAATTTGAAGCATACTTGATAGGTGGACAAAGGGTGTCCTTGTGTGTTTTATTGTACCTGTATGGAGTGTCCAGTTGTGTTTAGGGGGAACCTGAAGGTCTCATTGAAGGAGGGCTCTCTGTCATGTCGACACACTCTGGTCTTCTTCTTGATGATCCTTTTCTGAGTGGCTACATTTACCACATATAGCTTCACATACAGGTCTAAGGGCAAATCAAGATAAATGAAGAATAAGGATTAGTGATGCTGCAAACTATTTAGAGTTCTAAAAACACATAGATACTGCCATTAATGCATGTGCAAAAAAACAGACTACTTCCAGACCTGGTAGGTGGTCGGGGCTTTTGAACTTGTAAGTGATGTTTCTGCATTGAAGGATCTCCAAAACCAGTTGGTCCCCTTCTGTCTTTACCTCCTTCTTGAGAGCCACCTTGATCTCGCCTATTACTTGTGTTTTACCGGCTGAAAAAAGAAATGAAAAGAGGTATTGGGTGATCAGTTTTTGGAAATTTCTACATTTGGATATTGCTGGCTGAATTTTTTGTTCCCAAAGGCACATTCCTATGGTTGCACAGGAAAGTGATATATTTAAATGATTTAACAATAATGCATTGTTAAACCTGTGCTCAAAGCATAATGTACTCGGAGCATAACCACATTTTAGCTGTTTCAAATTGGGCATATCAACTGTCATGCTTCTCTATTGATATTTAAATGTAAGCGTTTTACAAAGAAAGGCTTGTTTAACTGTGTTAAATGAGTCATCAGGCACCATGGAAATGACCTCATGACCCTCATCTGTCCAACAACTGCCACGCAACAGCCTAAAATGACCTTGGGCCCTTTGTTACAAATTGTAACTAGAGAAGAAAGGGAGGCACCATGACACCTGAGCTACATGAAACGTGGATATAGTTATGACAGTGCGTAGGATAGTGTGACATCCACTTCTCTTTTCTCCACCCCAGCCAAGTCATTAGGCTGTGTAAATATTGCCTCTTGACAATAAGCACTTAACTGAGCATTTGACTACATATTTAAATAGTCATTATGAAAACACGGTTTAATAGTTGTTAAAAGACTGTCTATGTAAATGAACAAATAAATAAATAAATAATGCTGTTATATGAAGTACCCAGCAGATGGAGACCTACAACCAAGTTTCATCTGTTAACAGAGGCCATTTCTGGAACTTGCCTTCATTTTCCGGGGTCCCTAGTTGGTGTTTGTCTGTGCCGTTAGGAATAGTCTTTCCGCTGTGAGAAACAAAACATATGAGCATCATAAGACATTATGAATGAGGGATTAATGTCAGCCTCAAGCCTTACTGGATGTGGTTCGAATGAGCTATAAATAGTCTTACATGCGTGGGACTTGAAAAATGGCACTGTCCACTCCAGTGTCCTCCCCATCTTCCCCATCCAGACCTCCATATGCGTCTCCAACAAGACTCGGGGCCGACAGCACCACTGACCCTGAGACATCAGCCAGTCGGTGTCCTGGTCCTTAGGATGGCAAGAGAAAGTGTGATGGTAGTGATGAAATGATGTATGTATTTATGTGTGTGTGTGTATGTATGTATGTATGTATGTATGTATGTATGTATGTATGTATGTATGTATGTGTGTCTATCTATCTATCTATATGTAGTTTATCTGTGCCCACATGGCACATCTTTACTGACTCATGCAACAGAAATGCTTTACACCCCCAGCTATCTCTCACTGACAGTGCTACTGTCTGTCACACATAACTTTGACTGAGCATCACATGACAGCATATCAGGGGAAGGCAGATAAGTGTAGATGACAGCTTGTCCTTGCATTTAGCAGTGCTTTGTAAAGGACCTTGGTTAACTCATCAAGCCCACAGTAGACTTCAATTAAGGATACTACGTTTATTTCACAAATGAAAATGAATAGGATGTGATCATTTGGATGTCCTCTGATATATTTCCTTTTTATTCTTGGGTCCTGGCTGCTGCTGAGTTATGCTCATAGAGTAGTGTGATTAGTTCAGAGAATATGTGAAGTGTTTCTGTCTAGCTTGGGATGGATTTACTGTACACGACATTTTTCTGCCAGCGTTTCCTTTAAAAAAAAAAGACTAATAGAAGCCCGATCTGTGGCACCAGTAGCTGGGGAGTAGGTTTATCTCTAGACATAAAAACATAATTATCACAAAAACAACGCAACAACAAAATACCAAAACACACATGCACACTCAAACTTTAACAGACTTTAATGAATGAAAATAATTAAATGAGAAATATTTTTATAAATTAAATGTTTTTACACATTTGGTTATATGTCTTGATTTAGTTTATTATCAATAACTCATTGTTGTTTTTAGTGTTATGGTTGATAAATTAGGATTAGTCATATTTAGCAGTACATTTTTCCTATGTTGCCTCACCTTCCCCACCTGCTCCTCTCATGGTTAGCTGACCGCTTTACTGTCATTGGCCGGTGAGAGCGCGTCCTGTTGACTGTGTTTCCTGGTTTGACTGGCTCAGTCTCAGATTTGTTTCCACTTTGTTTTAGGAGGCAATTTTGGGAGAGGATTGGGTAGGGAGGGGAGCCAAACCTGTGTGTGTCTTTGTGCATTTTCTGTGACTAATCTGAGGGTTCATTCATATGGCACACACATGCACACACACAGAGCGACTGCAGCATCACAAAGTCCTCAGTGGCCAGGGAATAGTAGCCAGGGAAGCTGCAACTGCATGCTTAAATAGTTCTGACAGTGGGAAAACATATCTAAGGAAGGGATGACAGCATAGTACTTTATTTTGAGGACACCACACTAAAATGATGCATAAACATGAATCGATATTGTTAAAATTATGTTAATACGGACCAAGAGGTTTGGTTTCTTGATTTGGGTTAGAGATCTGCATGTAGACCATGTAGAATATGTTTGGGACTGGCACATGCAGAATTAATGTAGAAACAGGGGTTCGGGGGCTCTTATTTGTAGCTAATTAAATATAAATGTTTCTTTAGTTTTGTGGTAAGATTGACCTATACTTCTGTGTATGTAACTCACAGCAACATATCAGCTTAATGTCCTACTTAAGATACCAAAGTAGGTAGCAAAATGTTTAACAGATGGGAAATATCAAACACTATATTTTATTTAGTGCACTGTATGTGCCAGATTTATAAATATTTAAATGAAGATTTAAAGACATTATGCAGCAAGTTGAGGATTTGATATAGCTCACTTATTTTGTTTAATAACTTGGGTTTTGTTTAGTGAAAGAAGGATTGATCTAGCTAGGAGGAGTACATACAACTTAAGAGATGTTTGTTTAAAAACAAATATTTTTGTGCTCACAAAAAAGGCAAAGGTAGAATGTTAAGGAGGTAATCGCACAGCGGTTCAGGTTTTTTTCGATCAACATACAGTAGCTTGCATGCACAGGAAAAAGGAAGCATGTCACAGGAAGTGTATCATGGGTAGGGGTGGGATTTACTTGGTTGCAGGCGGGACTGTTGCACAGCCGCCTCGGCAGCAGCAATGGCTATCCCAGCATCCTCAAGGTGGGCCTGAGTGACGCTGCTCTTGCTTTGGCTTCTGGAGGGGCCATGGGAGCGCAGTTGGCCGTCAGAGGAAGACTTGGAGCTGCCTGGGCTGCTGTGTGACTTTTCCAAAGGCAACATCTGCATGTCTGCAGGAAGATGAGATAGTGGGTTATGACTGCTACTTTAACAAGAAAGATGTAGATGAATTCACACCGTTAACAGTATTATTTTGTTCTGCTCCACAGCAGCGGCCATGTAGCACTTGACGAGCGCATAGAGTGTAATTATTGCAGTCAGGAAATTATTCCCATTTATGTTTCTATGGTAACAGCCTCTTTCTTTATGAGAAATAATTAACAGACAAGATCAAGAATCACAGTTTTTGACCCAAACGCCTGCCAAAGAAAATCTGTGTCATTGCGGCGATTCACAGAAATTATGGAAATTGAGGGTGTATACAGTCTTCCGACGCTAACAAATAAGTTATTAGTGGAGACTTTTTTTTACCTTTTGCTGGGTCAGGGAAGATTCCATGACTTCTGCTCTTGATGACAGAGTTCTTTGGTGAATCTTGACTCCCGTCTGGTCCCTGTCCTATACCAAGCCCCATCCCAGGGCCTGACATATGGCCTAGGCTGTGTCCCTGACCATAACCCTGACCTGACCCAGACCCTGGTGGGCCTTGAGCAGCATGGTGGGCTTTGCTGTGCTCAATGCTCTCACTCTGCTCGTTCAGAAACAGCCAGCGAGGAGTGTTGTCTAGCTGGGTAGTGTTCGACAAGTCAATCAACACCTAAGACACAATTAACATACAAACACACACCGTTAGGATGAAACAAAACCATTAAAAACTCAAAAACCAAAGCTCATCACTCAGGTACAACAGGTATAAAGGCTGCATCTCAGGTCGATTATTTTCATTTCCTCGCGCGTCGGTCCTCGGTATATCCGGAAGTTGATTTGTCTGCGCCATCTTGATTACCGTCCCATGGCGCTTATTTCTGCCGGAGGATCGAGGAGCGAGGAGCGATAATGGAGGAGCGATAATGGAGGAACCACCAGACCATCCTCCGATGAAATCCTCAGATACTCGCCCCGCCCCCTTACTGTGTATCGCTCACTGATTGGACGATGCAGTGCATGCACTGATGTGATGCTTCTTGACATGAGATCAGTTTCCCAGTGTGAAGAAAATACATGAACCTCACGAGAGTCACTCCTCAGTTTATACTGTGTTTTGTTTCAATTAATGTTTCATTTAGTTACAAAAAACATTTAATTCATTTATTGGAAACATTTTCATGATCGCTTTTTTCGTTTATGCGTTTTACGAATGGCGTATATCTTTTTTGAGAATGAGTTCTTATTTTATTTTATTTATTTGGGTCTACAACAGATGATACACATGTTTATGTCAGTAAATGTGTACTAACAGAGGCGGGGGTGTGTGTGAAAACAACAGGGACAGAGCTGCTGTCAGACATCAGCTGTGCGGTGTTATCACAAACGGACGTCGCTTCACGTGTCGCTCCGGAGGAAAGGACGTCCCATTACTCTTAAAACTAATTTCCCTGCTTCTCGTAGTTCCCTTGTGTCTCTCCATGCTTCCCTGCTGGGAGGGACTAAAGGCAGGGAAACTACGCAAGTGAGGGACGCAAGGATTCCATTTCATCGACCTGAGATGCAGCCAAAGGGTCCCAAGGGAAAAGGGAGTAGAATTTGGATGGTAGATAACATAAAAGCATATTCAAACAGTTTTTGCTACAGAATTGTAATGCATACAGAATTTAGCACGAGACGAATAGCACTTCTTGCAAAAAAAAGGTAAAGGCATGTAGCAAAGATTGACTACAGAATTTGAGCGAGGGAGATAAGGCTCGTATTATAAAGTTGCAAGAAAAGCTTTTGTCATCAAAAAAAGAATGCCGCTGTTTACTATGTGTGAGTCAAGCATTGGACGTTTTGAGTTTTTTGTTGAGATTCCAAAAGCACTCACTTCTCCCAGGAAGTCATTGGAAGATGATCTGTCATAGTCCCACACAGTCACCTCCAGCGTCTTTTTCTTTAACTGGATAGAAAAAGTGAAGGAGAAAGGGAAACAGATTATGACGATGGTTTGTGCATATGTATGTGTGAGGGAGATAACTGTGTGTGCGTAGGCCTGCGTTTGAGTATGTGTGAGTGGAGAAAGTGTGAAAGAAAACAAACCTAGAATGGTTATTGACTTTAATATGCTCGGAAGATAAGGACTTACATTAGATTTGGTTTGTTCCAATACATGTACATAACCTTGTGAATGTGTATATTGGTATGTGTAAGGGGAGATTGCAACATATATCAGGGGTGAATGGTTGAATGAGTGATGCCGCAGCAGTTTTAAGAGTGGCAGGCTCCAGCCATCAGAGATGTGATTAACAGAAGGAAGCCCCAGAGAGTCCAATGAAGGCCTCTATCTGACCACTAAAGCTACTGCATCTGCACTTCCTCACTGTTGTAATTACAGTATGTGTGTACACAAACAACACAAGCAAACACAGACATCAATGAAGAAAACACAAGCACCCATACGCACACGAACTAACAGTGTGACAGAAAAGCACACAGGCACAATTACAATGTTTCTATAATTATTTGTGTTGAATTGATATGCAGTTAGGCTGTCTGTGTTGATGCAGTGTGAGAGCAGAAATGATGCATGTTAAGTTGAGTCTTTGCTGATAAGAGGTTGCACAGGGATATGGAGGACAGCCCTGCGGAAAAGGCATATGGACAGAATCCTAAGAAGAGTATAATGAGACACCAACGTCACCTCAAGTGGCCCGAAGCACAAACACTGACTGCACAAGCATGACAAAGGGAGAGTTTGTGTGTAAGGTGTTTGATAATGTTATTCTGCACAGTACCTGCTCCAAATGAATGTTCTTGTAGATGACAGTCTGGTTCCATTCTGGGTTCATGGTCTTCTGGGCATACTTGGTCCTTCTCTTGTTATCAGCACTGATAAGTCATGATATTCAGAATGATTGGTGGTCAGTAATAAATTTAAATTTCTCTTCCCTGCCTGACCCCATGGCAAACATTTACTACACTATGATATGCTCAAAAACTGTGGGCTGAATAGATGCTTGTAAAATCTCCTGCTCTGGAGACATCAGAAACAATTTCAAATGACAATGTTCAAATTGTCTTGGATGACTTTACAAAATCACAAAGCACTTCAGAGATAGAAGCTGAGAAGTGTTAAAAGTGAGAGGTATGGAGAGAAAAAGCAATGACAGGAGTTTTCTTAAACGACATGAAATTGAGCAGATAATAAGACGAACAACAAAGGCCACAACAAAAGGATGGAGAAGCACTTTGGAGACATAATTTACAGAAAGAAAAAACGAAACACCAACGAAAAGCAAAGATCAGCACCACGCTACCTTGCATTCTGGACAACCATGACTTGGCTGAGGGAGTCCAGAAGAGGAAGAGGAGGGCAGATATCACAAACAAGAAAGCAAAAACACAAAAAACAGTCAGAGAAGCCCAGAGAGCTTAAATAAAAGGCAGTAAAGGATAGAGAGCTGAGGCAATCAATATTCTCTGCAGGTGCACTGTTTTTGTGCCCAAGCAATGTATGTGACGCAAGACCAAAAAATCTCACAATGATTCCAACTGGCTCATGGGTGGATGACTAATTCACTATTCTGAACTGTTGCTCGATGTACCGTGGCCGTGCACTCTACCCACAAATACATTTCAAAATACTCTTCAAATGAAACAGCAGGGGAACAAAAAGGCTCTCCTGTATAGCTTTCATTCTAAGTATGCAATAGAGGGGTCTTATAATCTCATAAACACCTCTAATGGGTTTTTTATCTAAGAGCAGATACGGTTACAGAGTAGATAAGGCTATATCGATCCTTTATCTTGCTATTCACAGGCTCTTTGTACGAAGCTATTGGGTGGATCAGGCGAGAGAAGTAAAAGCAGGACATACAACTAGTGGAAAATAAAAAAGTCTAGCTTAGAGTATGATAGCATACACATAATGCTGTCTATGACCAGATAATTTAACATATTATAATGTTTCAGTATGGCAAATTATCTCCTCTCACAACTTCCTATGAGGTATACAACACCCATCCAGAAATCGAAAGAGATTGAATCAAATTGAATCAAATTAAACTACAACTGAATGCCTCATATCATCATGTCCAGTCTCATTCTCTCAAACAAGCTCAGGTAGTTAGTCAATTTCGTACAAGACACAATATAAGGTCAGAAAGAAACAGGGGGAGAGTAAACAAGACAGACACAGAAGCAGAAAGGCAGACACAGACCAGACAGTCATGAACAGTGAAACACAGTCAGAACTCACCCTCTCCCAGGTAAGAGGTAGACCTTGACAAACGGGTCAGAGTAGCCGTCGTTGTCCCTCTGGGCCAGGTTTCTGGCCTGCAGAACATGCACGATCAAGTTTCCCAGGTTCTTGTCATAGTTGATCTGGAGCTGAGGGGAAAAGAGTGGAGGGGAAGCTATGTGAGGCAGACTTAACTATGGATGAAAAGTATCTAGTACTTTTTGTGTTTTAATACCTGAATTTCTCCAGTGATGGGATGAGGTATCCTCATTACCTCTGTTATCGGCTACAGAAATAGGAGAGAGCATACAATGGTTGAAAAATGATTCTTTCATGACTTGACCCACAAAGAAAAGTTCAAGCAAGCCATTCCTCTGGGATTAGGTTTTGTTAAAAGGTGCTTTGACCTAATTTGACCTCTCTCTATTGTAATCTTACGGATGAATGGGTTGTCCTTGTAGAAAAGATGCTGAGTAAAGATTTCTCACCGTATCTATGGGCCTCAGGAGAGATATTACTATCTGAGGAGTGCAATTTACTTGAAAGGTCCTCTAGTGAATTTTGAGAAGGTTAATTAATTATTTCATTTTTACATAATCATTAGTGAACATTGTATTTTACAGTTTAGATAATTAAGTACAAATATATTTCCGCTTGACATTCATCTCCATTTATCATTCCATAATGCTTCCTATTTTTTCTATCAGTTTGACATGCCTTTCAATGAAAATACATGTAAACATTTGCATATATTTCCAATTTCATGCAGACCACCCTAGGTCATGTAATGTAACACACTATATTTTGTTCCATTATAATTGTCCTGTTGAACACAGTCACACTGTTTGACCTTCACATGCCACCTTCCATTTTGAAGTGTCATGTATATATGATTTAATGTTGATGGAGGTCCATGAGAGATCAAAAAGAGTGCTGCTTATAACAGATCCATACTATTATTCATTTAGAATACATTGTTGTTTTACACAATTTATCTATTTCAACTATATACAACTAAAAAGTGTGCCTGTTATGTGGCAGCGAAATATGCAAGTCTTATCCACAACCTTGTGTCGTTGTTTCTTGTTTATGGCTGGGGATGCAGGCTGGCCAGGGCTTGGCACACCACTGGAGGCAGCTGAGCCAGTACCAGAGTGGAGGAGGGCAGAACGATCCAGTGCAGAGAGGATCCCCAAACCCCCAGACCCGAGCCCTGTTCCAGCCAAACCAGGAGCCAGTTGCTGGGACACCTTCTGCAGTTCTGCTGCCAATTGATTAGGATCCACACCAGGGGAACGCTGCCCACCTACTGAAACAAATGAACACAGTAATTCACCTTGAAATTATGTGAAATAGGCACACAGATATATGCATGCATGCAGACACATCAACAAATCCTTGTACATACCAGCCTTAAGCTGGACATGGTGCTCCAGGGCTTGTGGGTGCTCAGGGTCAGACAGCATATCAAGGTCGCTGTTGGATCCATAAAGGACATTTATAAAGGAACATAAACCAGTGTGTTATAGCAGTTATCAGTCAGAGGGTGATACTTGTCAGATGAAGGGATGTGGAATAAAGAGGAGGGAAAGGAAGGTGGAGAGAAGGTTGTGAAGTTACCATATTGCAGCTAAACATATTGGAGTTTCAGAGGGATAGAGGGGTAAATGATGACAGATGTAACTCACAGTCTAACACAGATCTCCGCCTCGGCACATGGCTGGCCCACGATGCACTGCACTTCTTCATAAGTCTTTCCCATCAGAAGGATTCCGTTCCACTCCAACACCTGCATTCCTGTGGTGTGATGAAAGCAAGCAAGCAGATTCAGAGTCAAAAGTGTGTTATCAATTCCCACACAATATGTTGTAGACTCAGTCTAGGCTAATTCATTTCACCCCTCCCTCTGCATGAAACGAAGCGTGATGATATGGAAAGTGCTTTGCCTTTACATAGAGGTAATATAATTTCTTGAGCATAAAGCTTCTAAGTCCCATTGAACAAGAATAATCTATATTTCCAAAATAATTTGTCCTTCAGTTCAGACATAACAGGTTATTTGTGGTGACTTGAATCATTATTTATCATTATAAAAACCTAAAAAACAAAAAAAACGTTGTGTATCTCACGTGGTCTTGAAATTACGCGAGAACACACTAGTTAATGATTTCCCTGTTTGGCCTAACTTGGAGATGGCCAATCTGACGCACACTTTACAACGTAAGTCAATAAAATGATAGTGTAAATGTGTAAAAAATTAAATACAACAAACAGTGCGTCCTTGGTTGCACTACTGCAACGGGGAAGTAAAAAGGGTAAATATAGAGGTTTGTTACAACTATTAGCCTACGTAAGAACGGAAATGTTAAGGCTGTGAGTGAGCGTGTGCGTGCGCGCGCGCTTGCCTGGTTGCTTGCGTGGCCCTCAGTTAATGAGGAGCCGCTACATTTTGAAGTGCACACTGCTCCATGTATCTTACGGTACGTCCACACAGCAGCTTTAAAAAAATCTTCCAACGCTTCTCTGCCCATTGACGTTGAATGGGGATGACGTCACTTTGCCTCGCTTTTCGCCGACCTGCATTGTGGGGAAGCAAAGCGAAGATTTCCAGGATTTTCACGATTTTCGGGATTCAAAAGTTGAGCAATGTTCAACTTTTGAAGTTGAGCTGGAAGCGTCAGCCAATCAAATCCCGTTTATGCAAATCTGACAGTACAAGCGCTAGCCAATCAAACCGCGTGCAAGCTGGGAGAGCCAGACCGCAGTTCATTTCCTCATATTCCAAACGAGAAATTACGGTAGCAAATCACCCGGTTCTTTACGACCAGAACTATTTACCGGGATACAAACCGGAGGAACCAGGCATGGAGGGAGGTGGCAGAGACAGTGGGTGAAACTGGTAGGTTTTCACCTGTTTGGAGAGTTTATATCCAGTTTACTTCGTTTTAAACATTGCTATTGCTTTGTATGTCGGGGGCGGGAGATTCATGTGATTGGTTGTTGGTCGCGTTGCTCGCAAAAAATCCCCAAGCTTTCAGACACGCCCACCTCCAAGATTTTCAAGATTTTTTTCAAAGCTGCTGTGTGGACGGGCAGTAAGTGTTGTCCATTTGTTTTGGTTATGTCAAAGCAATAGAATATTTATTTCTTGTGGAAAAGGTACATCTTGCTCCAGATTTATTACAAGGGTCATTGATTGGTTAATATTTTGAGATTCTTGAGGTTTACTTTGATCATATTGTCTCAATTTGCTTAAAGAGGGCCTGTTAGGCTCATTTTCAGGTTCATATCAGTATGTAGTGTCTCTACTGTGACATGTCTCCATTCTTTAATACGAAAAGCTCTTTATTTTTCTCATTCTGCCTGTGTAGTGTGTACTGCCACAAAAAGCACAATAGGGCATCTCATACCATGTTCATGTCATATTGAATATGTTATTACTGTTTTCCGAGTTATAATTCCAGCCAGGAAACTCTTCATATGCATCTGCTACTATAGTGCTACTTGAGGGCCTGGAAAAGGCCAAAAAAAAATATGGACGCCTAAAGGCAGCCAAAGTATTTTTAACCTTCCAATACCCACGCATAGAACTGCGTATAGTCGTTCATTGGCATAGGCATTGGGACCTTTTCCATCTCTATTGTATGTGGCTTGAGAATTGAAAACGTAGATCAACACAATGTTCTCTGACTATGAAGAGGGTCAATTAAAGTGGTTAATGATGATGAATAATAACGATGTTACCTTTCTGTCTCCATGACATACAATGGGCGGAATTGGAAATGTTCCAGCAGTTCTTGACATGGACATGAATAAAAACGATACTTCAGCAAACTCATGACTGGATATTGCAGTAAGTTCATAATTAGCATCTCTTAAGAGGGAATAATGAACCTCATTCATGCTGTGGGTGCAATCAGGAACATACGGGGGGGG